CCTGGCAAATAAAAATTCCAATAGAACCTCATATTTTACGAAACTAATGTCTGCGCAAGATAATGAACACGTGTCAGGTCTCCAAGTGATACAGCTTCGTGCTGACTCTTCGCAGCATCGGTTCCAGCGAAGTATTTAGAAAGCTTTCAATATACGGCGGCAGTTGTCTTTACGTAAAATATGAGTCCAAAAAACGATTGCAGATGCCCTTTGCGGAGAACCGAGCCATCTGGGCCATATTCCGCGCCTCTTCAGTGGGTTGGGTCCTGCATTTTACGACTCCTATGGCACTTATTGAAAAATAAAATGTAAAAAAGGGCGATTTGCTGCGCTCTTCGTTTTCGAAAGACCGGAAAACAAGAAAGTGAGCCATTTACACAAAGGTTTGTGCGGTTTACGATACTTCTCTGTCATGTTGACAAACACTCCTCTATTTAGGGCATATTTTAACTTGCTGTTCCGTTGCAGCGAAGTATACGTTTGCTTCAGCCTATGAAATGCCACCGTCCTACGCTTTAATCATCAAACCGCAAGTCTGTATTATTCCTTTTTTTTTTCTTTCGTTTGCCGAAGGGAGGACAAAGCAATAACGACACAATATCAAAAAAGGGAAAAGAAATGTATGCACGAAAGAAAGTAAAATTCTTTTTTAAAAGTTTTTTTTTTTTTGCTCCATCAGCTTTCTTTGTTGAACCGTACAGTCACAATTGGAGGCGCTTTAATTTTGTGGCACTGTGGAAATTATGATGAGATTAACGAAGATCTCCTTCAGGTATGTGCGCTTCCGGTACAAAACCTTCTTTCTTTTCACGTAAGATAGCGGAATGGAGAAAGAAAAAAGAAGAAAAAAAAAAACACGAAACCATCAGGCATGAATGCGATTGCCGCTTTCTTTAGAAATATGACACGCGTTTCTGTGCTCAACGTACGTAAAGAAGTTTAGAGGTAGTAGTCATCTCAAAATTAAAAATGTCATATTTTTTTTATTACTTCTTTATTCGTGAAATCAAGCCTTGTCGGGTGCTGCTTTTTATACGTGTAAATCTAAACAACATAAAAATGTCCCACGAGATGAAAGGACTTGAGAATAAAAAGTATATGTAAAAAGAAATTTTTTCTTGACTTTGCGGCGCCATTTCCTGATAGATATGGCTTGTTTAGTCAACACCAATATTGATTTTCGTGGACTTCGGTTTGGAGTTGTATCCTAACTAAAATAACTTAAATAAAGAATTGAGATGGATGACAGCACTTCTAGAACCATCTGCCATAGACGATATTTATTTTATATTAAGGTGATTTATTTTCTCTGCAAACGACATTGGAACGTGTGTCCTAAGTGTGTTTGTGCGCTTTCAACTGACATTTTATGTGTGTTAGAAACATTATTTACCGTGGTAGAGTACTATGTTTGTCATCAAACAAAGAAGGGCACACACTCTGGAAAAAAAATACGTATTCTATATTAACGACGGCGCTTTTTCTTTTTTTTAAAGGTGGGGACGCTATTTAAGGCATTGCGGTTGTCTGATAAGCGGGTGCGAAATGTTGACTGGATAACATGCTCCTTCCTTGAGGTGGAAATTGCATTATAAAAATACGATGTCCTAATATTATATCTGGTAATTAACAAGTTTTGATTTCATTAGACCTTTTTGACAACGCTTCTAAATCGACGGCCTATGTATAAGAAGTCGTGTATTCATAAAAATAAATTGTAACGTATATATACATATATATATATATATATTGCGATGAGGCTTGCAAGGCAAAAGGAACCCACATTATCTTTATTTTTATTTGATATTTTTATATACACTAAGTGTCGTGAAAATAAAGTATGTATAGTAAATACATACGATGAGTGGTTATTAAATTCCTTGTTAACTAGTGCACTGATGGCCATAAATTCACCAGTTGATTTTATTTTCTCTCAGTCGTTGATTTGATTGGTGTTGTAGCTTCAATGTGGTCACGTATACCGTATATTTTAGTTTTGAGTGCTCGTTTGCGAGGAATGTTTGCATTTCAATACTGCCTTGCTATATAGTGTTTTGGTTTCAAATACTTGGTATACGGAAGTAACGGCTCGGAAGGATATACATCATAAATGCAGAGAGAAATCGATACCTGAAATTTTATACCTATCTGTGGATGCGACAACATTCGCCTGAACCTCCGGAGGCACCTCAATTATGCATGTGGAGACTAGAACGATAAAGAATGAAAAACGTGCTAAAGTACAATTAAATGTGCACATTATGAAATCTTGCACTAAATTTTTGAGCATCTACGAGTGAAGAACTAAAAAGCTTTGAAGAGGTTGTACGTGGCGTCAAATAAGTTCCCCCCAGGATGACGATAATAATCCCTACAGAGCTGGACAAGAATAATGGAAATAAACCCTGGAGAAGGGGAACAAGGAGGACAAGGACACACACAAATCTCGAAACATAGCTACGTGACTGGTGCTCGATCAAAAAAATCCGCCTGGTTCTGGTATCAAACCAGGAATTTCTCCATTTCCACTGGAGCGCTCTACCGACTGAGCTAACCAGGAGTTAGGCGTCAGTGGAGCAAAGGGGTTTTATCAGCCGCCCTAGTCTAACACCAGCAAGGGTGAACGGCCTGCATTTTAAAGTTCTGAGGATAATGCAATTCATAGAATGGTGCAAGCGAGCTGGACAATAATAACGATAATAATCCATCAAGAAGGGGAACAAGGAGGAAAAAGGACAAACATAAATCTACAAACGCAGCTAAGCGACTGGTGTGCGACCGAAAACACCCGCCTGGTCTTGGTATCGAAACAGGGACTTCTCCATTTCCAGGGGAGCACTCTACCAACTGAGCTAACCAGGAGGTGACTGGCGCGCGATTTTCAACCGCGCACCAATCACCTAGCTGCGCTTGGAGATTTATGTTTGTCCTTTGTTCCCTTTGTTCTTCTTTTGCAGGGATTATTGTCGTCATTCTTGTCCAGCTCGCTTGCACCTTTGCGTTAATTGCATTATCATCATAAACTTCAGGAGTGAGATGCGACCCCCATGCAGTGAATGAAAATCGAGAGGGAGCAGCAGAACATACGCACCATATTCTAATTATTAATTAGTTTCGTAATGCAAATAAAACGGAACCAAATGCTTCCGCGCCATTTGGTGACACGACAGAAAACGGGTTGGGAGTTGTAACTGACAAGCTGACTCGTAGAGTACTCATTACGAGTAACCAAATAAGTTGTAATCGATTACTTTTTGTAGTAATTTTTTAATCATCTGATTATTCTAATTAGGAAGTGACCACAACAGTAACATAATTACTTTTGGAAGTACGAAAGTTAGTTGTAACCGTTACTATTTTCCCTTCCGCTTTCTTAAAGGCGCTCTTTGTTTTTCCGAATTTCCTACCTAAGAATCCTCGAACCATGTCTTGGACTGGAGGTTGGATTACTAACATTAGTTAATTAAGATGATAGCTTATAATTTGGCGATCCAAAATCAATAGTGGACAGCGCGAAAAAAACATTTTCAAACCGGCTGAAAAATCTCGCCTTTGAAAATCTGAAGTGATCGGAAAAGGTACGGTTACTTTTTTCTACTAACGGCCAATTATTTTCTTCACAAGTAATCGAGTTAATGAATTAAAAACGTTTCGAGCACAGCTCTTAGGCGCCCATTTTCGGGTTGAAAATTGTCGGCGTCGGCGTCGGCGTAACCGCGCGTTGCATTATGGCACGTTTCTCATAACGACGTCACACGTGACACCATGCGTGACGTCACGAGGGTAAAATTTTCCCGTTAAGTTTGTCGGAAAAAGTTTTCGCTATATATTTTGCGTGAAACTCTTCCGATAAATTTAGCGGAAAGATGTTTCCGCTAGATATAAAAGGGAAATTTTCCCGCTCAATTTTGCTGGAAAACTCTCAGTCAAGCTAACGGCATCTAGCGTAGAGCATCTCAAGCTGGTCACTTAGGCGAAGCTTTAAAGAAAAACAAATAATCGTTTATAGCATCATCTCGTATGCGAACAATTAACCTGCTCACAATCTTAAATCTTATTAGGGTAGACTACAATGTTTCCGGAATCGCCATTAAGTTTGTTTTTTTTTGTTTACAAAATAAGTGTGTCGTTGTCTTGCAAAGTTATGCTTTCTTATGGACTGCAACTGTCAAACTGATTTGTAAAATAGTCTAGGTTTGGCAAAGACTATAACGTTTAGCACTTTCAAACAAGAATAATCACAAAGCTGTAAAAGTTACCAATTATTTTTTTATTCCTTTTTTTTATTTTGAGGGAAAACCTTCGACTGTTATTGGATTCAGGTTACATGCTGCGCTTGAGAAATCATTACCTTTATTTTCCAGAGAGAGTTCTTTGTGTTTCGGTATCCAATCATGGCCGTACGCACGCAACTGATGATCCCGTTTATAATGCCCAAAAGCGGCTTGCGCACCGAAAATAATGAATGAAATGCATGTCGTGAGTTTAGCAGATCGCATGAAAAAACGCACGGTAATCTCCTATGAGCCAGGTGTTCACGTTTTCCATATTGAATTAGCTGAAAAAGCTTTCTACGAAAGGGGGCCTTATTAACTCATGCCTAAGCAGATGCTCCAGATTGAACATTTGCACTGAATCAGCAAGAAGTAAAAAAAATGCAAGACTAAAATCCTTCCGCATCCGCCGTGCCAAAAGTCATTTTGGTGAATGAGCGCCACAACAACGAAGCATAAAATTTGTATAGTTACACGCGTCTGCACTTGTAATTTTTTAAACGAAAATCTACACCAGATCTTATATAGCAGGTGCAATTTTGATTTCTTCATTTTGTCTTTCGCTTCAGATATTTTTAGGCAGAGAGGCTGATCACGTGCCAACGGGCGCACACATAACAAGGAATGCGTTCTTTGAGTTTTGCTTTCACATCTGCACGCATGCACATTCAGAAAGGATGGTCAAACATAAACAAAGGCGTTATTTTATTTTTTTTACAGATCGTGATGGTTGTCTGCCCAAAGCACGAGTCGGGGCTGTTCAACGAGACGCTCCCATCCACAGAGCCGCAAGCAGCGCACAATGGCTTCGCAGGTAACCAGGACACCTTGCTCCTCAAGCAGCAGATTGACACACTCAAATTCGTCGCCTATGGTGTTGTGTCATTCGTGATCATCGCCCTGGGTATCGTGGGGAACCTCATCAACCTGGTCGTGCTGACGAGGCCCAACCTCAAAGGCGTCACCTTTGTGTACCTCACCTGGCTGGCCACGTCAGACCTCTTGACGCTCGTCGTTGCCGTGTTCTCGATGCTAAGGCTGCACGGCATCCAGCCGCGCACGTATCCTGCCGCCTTCTATTTCGCCCACGTCGAGATGCCGCTGGTGAACGCGCTCATGGCCAGCAGCGTCTTCATCGTGATAGCCGTCACCGTTGACCGCTACTGGTCTGTGTGTCTGCCCACGCGATACAAGGAGTTCCATAACTCCAGACGTGCCAAGCTGGCCATTCTCAGCGCTTACGTGGCCGCAGCTCTTCTCTACGTGCCGGTGGCCTTCCAGAAGAGTCCTGTGCCAGTGTGGGACGAACGCGCCAACCGGACTCAGTATGTGCCGTGCGACAACGTGTCCGTGTCGCGGCATCTGGTCTTCAAGATCTACCTTCTGGTCAAGGAGGTCCTTGTGCGAATAGGACCGGTCCTCGTGGTGGCCGTGCTAAACACCACAATCATCCTCACTTTCCGCAAACTGATGCGTAAGCGTCAGCAGCTCATGAACAACAGCAATCGGGACACCGGGAAGTTTCTGGAAGAGCAGCGGTTAGTCATCCTCCTGGCGGCCATCGTGATTATGTTCTGCGTGTGCATGACTCCAGCCGCTGTTCTGACTGTCCTCATCGGCGACGACAAGGAACTCAACTACGGCTTCCAGTTGTTCCGGGCTATCGCCAATGACATGGAGATGGCCAACTTTGCCATGAACTTTTACGTCTACTGCTTGTGCAGCTCCGAGATACGTGGCACGTTCCTCAGGTTGATTCGCTTCGGGAAGCCGCCACCGGATGTTAGTTTCGTGCTCAAGGCCAAGAGCCATGTGGACGGAAGCACGCGGCTGTGATCTGGTGATGCGCGTTTAGTAGAAGCGATAAGAAAAAAAAATCGTTTTAATGTCTAGCGTGGTCATAGATGATCTCTACGTCTGAAGAGAGATGTGCACTTTTTTTGCACATCCTCTTCGCAATAGTGTCAGACTGAATAAGAAAGAATGCAACTCGCGCAATATAAATTTATAAATTCGAGCTCGATCAAGCTTTTTTTTATTATTATTATCCGACTCTGGTTGTTTGGTATTGAATATTCCCCGAAAACTCGTGTGTACCATACTGTCACAGTCATACTTTTTTCAGTCACTTGTCTTTCGTAGGAAAAGTGTTTCGTTGTTCGGTTCTCATTTTGTGAGTGTGAATATTGCATCTGAGTGTGGACGTATCATCTCCTTGACGTCTAGGTAAGGTTACAAGGACCATTATCTAGGTGCCAATGAAATAACAAAAGAGCTTATATAGGCAAACGTTTAGAACACTTGCCGAAGTGCGAATTATTGGTGTCAATTATAGCCCTTGAAAGCGGGCCGCGACCAGTTCTTTCCCCGTACTCTAGCTCTTATAGGATCTACAAACGTATTTGCGTTCGATAATATTTTTTTATGCCTAAAAAAACGGTAACACTTTGTGGGAAAGATGATGGGGGAAGGCTGACCATTTACAATGCACATATTTTATTGCACTGATTACAGTGAATGTCTGCCTCCTTAAACCTCTAAAAAAGGTTAGGCGGCCAGAATTTTAGAAAAAAAAAACACGAATTGAGAATTAGAAATATAGTTAGCTTTTCCCTATTATGAGGCCACGCAGACACTTTTTTTGTCTCTCGAAAGAACCTTATTTGCAGTAAACCTTTATTATATATCTTAACAAGTTACATAGTTTTAAATTAGGTCAACTGTCAGGGACAAAGACTTGTATGCCTCGCCTTATTCAAACGAGAAAGTTGATGTCTAATTTCTGCACAACTTCCATCCACGATCGCATTCCTAAGTGGACTCCAAGGGGTGCTCAACGATAAGGTAAGTTTTTTTTTTTCTATTTGTTTTTTTTCAGGAAATTATATTTCTTTAGACGCTACTTAAAAGTCCTAACAATATACTCTGTTTGGCACATCCTACTTGATCTTGAGGAGCACCGCATTAAAGCGCGTCTTTTTAAAAAAAAATCCACAACAAATAGTAAAAAGATGTTTCAAGTAGTTTTCTTGATCACGCTCAAGTTACATAGTTTGGTCCAAAGACGTCATTGCCATCTCTTCACGCGTCAGCTTCCAGGGACAGGTTTCGAGCGAATAGTGCTCAGATCTACATTGTCGTCTTTGAAATCAAGGTTTCACCGTAGGCGCTGCTAGGTACCTTGTACTTTCGCTGATTGCGTAACGTAAAGGTTACGCGCTAGAACTCGACGCGATATAAGCTGGCCCGCAACAGTCGCGGCCCACGAAGGTCTCCGGCGAGTGTCAGCACAGTTGACGGCCTATGCCTTAGGGCTGATTCACACACTTGCGACTGCTTACGACCGAGTTCCTATGATCTCTTTTGGCAAGATACCACACTGACACGCTGGCTCCATCTGTGAGGTGGCTCTGGAACTGCATTTAACAAGTGCGAAGGTTTGGCAGCATTGGCGAGATCAAATGTACGTGCTAGCTATAAAAAAGGTCGTTCGTTACATTTTCAAGAGCTTTTCAACACTACAGCAAAAACAAAAACAAAAATATAATGCGCGAAATAAGAAAAATTAGTGTGCGCAAATCCCAAGTGTTCCACTGGTATCCGAGAGATGACGCTAGTGTGTTTTCTCGTCGTAAGAGCTTAGAAGAGGTTGTCATCAGCAGTCGCAAGTGTGTGATCGAGACTTTACCTGCAAAGCCCGACTCTTAAACGCATCAATTATCTAGTCAATAGCAATCGTAAAGTTCTCCAGATATCAAATGTCTGGAGAACTTACCTCTGCGCTCTTCACAAGCTCCCCCTCGCCTACTCTAGCACCAAAAAAACAATATGAACAGGTTACTTCGCATGACTTCTAAACCTGCTCAGCGATGTTGAGCATGGTGTGTCTCGTACGTTAACAGATCAGGCTCACACCAACGTGGTTGTAATTTACCTCGCTTGGTGTCACAACACTCTCAGTGTTAGATCAAAACGTGCTCAACAAATATTCACCACTTTGTCATTTACCAGCGGATGGCAGTGATTGATTACCGTAAAGTTCCGCAACAATGCCAACCCGAAATGAAAAGATGAAAAGCATGGAATGAGCTATATTTGGGGATGGCACAACAAAACTTGATAAATACCTTGGCATCTGATACAAACTACGTGACGCGGGAATGATACCGGAGATCGCGGAAACCGCAAATTTTCGTTTCACAGAACAATAAATACGCAAGAATTCGCAACAAACTAGTGCGTCATGGGAATGGATACCCCAGGTTGCGGACGCAGAAGATTCGCGTTTCGCGGTGCGAAGTGCCCCCGAAAACCCGCTGAGAACTTGAATCTCACGGGAACGAAGACCGCAAATCGCGGACGCAGCAAATTCAAGTTTTGTGGTGATATAAACACGCGGGAATCCTCTACAAACTTGCCTGTCACGACAACCGATATCGTGAGCGCAGATCGCAGACAAAAACGCGGGAACCCGCTCTAAACTCGGTCGTCAGGCATGCTGGTACAGCAAACTGCGCGGTTCATGTTATTCCCGTCGGATATCGCGTTGCGTCCGACGGGAATCGGGGGGTGGGCGATGTTTCAGAATCTTTGTTTCAGATATTTTAGCGAGAAAAACGGGATGGACGATCTCTCGGGGGTGGCCTTCTCTCCGAACTTTACGGTATGTCATACTGAAAAGTAGAAGAAAAAGCTGTTTTTAGTGAGTAGCCGTGCTTTAACGAGACATAATATGTTCGTCATTCTCTTTTTTTTAGTAATCTGCGTATTCGTGACATTACGAATACTTCAGAAACCAGATTGCGCTACAGATTTGATAAAAAAGCAAACAAAAGCAGCCTGTGGCGTCTTTTTTGACGCCGAAAATAGTAATATCAACATTTGGAAGTTGTTGGCTTAAAAAATATGTTTCGTATAGTTACTCTGGTTGCTCTAATTGACTTCTAAAAATAGAAACTTTTAAGTGCTCGCCACACCAACGATCAGCGACTCGACGCTCATCCGCTACTGCGATTGTCGGATTGTTACAATATCCCGAAGTCTGTTTTGTCGAAGTTCGCGGGCAAACTTTATGGTCGTTAAGCGTGCAAGACGAAGCCATTAAGGTGATGAGAGATTATTTTTACATAGCTGAAATGTGTACATACTTTATATGTCCGAGAGTCACAGAGTAGTGACTAACGCCAAGGCACGTTGATCTTCATTTCAGTTCGAGTTACACAATGATACTCCAGCAAACTGTGTGATGAAGTTGTATGCTCGTTTGCATGACTCAATCGAGGCAATCGTGTCATAGCAACAATGTTCCGTCTTTGTGAAGAAAAAACACATTATTTTGTGGTGTTGTTGCGTACATTGTATAAACGAATTCTGTCGACTGAAACTCAAAACACACCTTTTACATTTGAAAGCCTGCCTAAAATAATTACTGAAGTGTGAGTGATTGTTATTTGTAAATAAAAATTCGACAACGAAGAACTTGTCAATGCTTTTCTCGTCATACGAATTTCTCCTTCCTTTCAAAGCGAACAGCATTGAAGGACATCAGTTTTAATGTCTCATCAAAAACTCCGAAAAGGGGACATTTAACTCAAAAAAGATCATTTTAAGATTAAAACAATCTGCATTGTGTGATAACCACGACGCAGCACGACGATCCAAACCAGAAGGACATTTATGGCGCCCAGCTCGTTTTTAGAACTCACAAAACGATAATAACCATGCGCGTGACGAAAGCAGCCCACGTCACGAGTGTGATGTCCCATCCGCTACTTGCTCAGCGCTTGGTTCTCGCGCTACAACAGTCTTGCCCCTTAATGCGCGACCTACTGATCACTTTCTAAAATCTAAAAGATTAAACCAGTCGGGTGGATGACGCACACACGCACTTCGTCGTAACTCAACGTCCGGCTGGTCTTGACTTTCCGCTGACGGTTACGAGCCTGTAGGCGGCGTCGCATCAGGCGGAGACGTCACCAAATAAGTCCTCGAATGTGTTGCACATGTCGCAATATCGGACATCGGTTCGTTGTCTAGGTCATGTGTTCCCGTCAACACAGGCGGCTGCTCGCGCTGTTGAGTCGGGTCTGATTTATCGTGTTGCGGAAGCAAGGATGAAGTTTCATCGGGTCGTGTCGAAGAACGGCGCAAGTTGTCAGCGTATACAAATCCCGTTCGACAGTATACACGCACAACGTATGTCACCGGACTCACAATTTGTGTCACTTCACCGTCCTCACAGGGAACGCTGTCACCTCGCACACATTTCACCCACACACTTTCCCCCAGATCAAATGCGCGGTCTGCGCCCCTGTGCTTGTCGCATTGCTGTTTCATGTTCAGCTGTTTTTCAGTCATGTATTTTAAAAAGTCGGGCTTGATGAAAGACAACTTCACTCTTGGCTGTCGTTTCAAGAAAAGTACAGCTAGAGTCTTTCCAGTAACCGAATGAGGGATGCTTTTATAACTCATCAAGAAGCTGTCTAGCGCTTCTTGCACCGAACCTTGCTTCCCCGACTCAGCGTGAGACAGCACTTGCTTTAGCAGTGCCCGCTTTGTAGTCTGCACGATACGTTCGGCAGCCCCATTTGAAATTGTGTGGTAGGGCGGAGTCTTTGTAGGTGTAATGTTATTTGTGGTAAAAAATGTTCCACATCCTGAGATACAAACTGTGGCCCGTTATCACTCACAATTCCTTCGGGCAAGCCGAAGGCAGCGAAGGCACTGCGAAGTTGGGTGATTGTTTGAGTCGCAGTGGTAGTGCTCATCAACCAAACTTCAACCCATTTGGAATACGTGCTCACTAAAACAAGAAAGTTATTTGGACCCTTTGCCGC